GGAGCTGGGCAATATTAGTGCTGTGCTTTATAGTTCGCCTGCTTCCCTGTGCGTCATGGTTTGCCCTTACCCCAACTCGGGGATTTTTTCTTGGGCTTATACCTAGTACTCGTGAAGTGGGCGTATTAGAGTTGCGGATACATGAACTTTAGCCGAATAATCTATTTTTGTCCTCGTTAAGTATATATTGACAACTTCTCCCTGTTAAATAACTCTCAAGAAAGTAACGACCAAGTGTTGAGTATGCAGAAAACTTGACTATTTCGTTTATTTCTTAACAGCCTTGTAGTGTCAATAAAATTGCTGCTTATGTTTAGTCATAGTCCTTGAATAGGTTATCAAATTTGTACAGCTCACATAAGAGGTTTAACACTTGTTCAACAATTTATTACAATTTTGGATTCAGCCTTTTTAAGTTGTACGCTTTTGTTCGACTAACTAGCTTTGACTGAGTTTTTCAGAAAGTGGCCCTAAATGAATTTGTTAGCCTTTATTGTTTGTTTGAAAGACTATTTTGTATCTGGGAAAAAGAAAGAACAAAGTTTTTAGAACCCTTCAAAAATATGCACACAGTATATAAAAATTACTTTAAGAAACTGAGACAAGTTTCCTAATTTTTAACTAAAATCCGCATTAATTAAGATTTTTGGTAAAATTACTGTGTCCATCATCAAAATTTTAAGAAAATTGTGTATAAAATTAAAATCATTTTATTGGGTGTAACCTGCAGTGGCCCTGGGGCAATCAGATTAGTTTTGAGCTCCTAGACCACGTGCCAAGTGCCGGGTATCTGTTAGTCGGGTGAACTTTTTATTATGTTTTTTTATGATGTGCCTCGCACACGCACTGCCAGAAAAGAGAGTCGAGACCGAGACCGAGAAAGAAGGCGCCATAACTGCCAACACGTGTCAGAATGAAGTGAGTCAATGGGGAGGCGGCGCCACGTGGGAAAAAGGATGGCTGATTGTAGGGTGGTTGGGTTGGGTGGTTTTGTAGCTGGGTGTCTGGGTGGCAGGGTAAGGGCTGCTCAAACGACCCTGACCTAGGCAAGTCGTTTCGAGTGTCAAAGGCTGGGCCCGATGTCGGACATATGCAAATGCGGCGAGGGGCAGCCGAGCCTGGGGCAGGACACAGTCCTCGCCGGAGGGCGAGCAGCGTAAATGTTGTTGCATATTTAAAGGGGTTTTAAGTTTATTGTATGGCCAAGCTCCTTTCCCTCAGCCCCTCCCTGCAATATTTACACTCTTAGAATTTATTTGAACACGTTTTTGCATTTGCCCGACCCAGAATTCTGCTTCGGTCCAGCAGCTGTCATGCTGTGACAACATTTTATCAGATTGTCCGGCACTTTTCCCGCTCCCCCACCCCAGTTTTACTGCCTGCCTGCCTGGTTTTCATGTTAGTGGAAATCAAAACGAAACTGTAAATGATTTACAGCTCGGAGCGAGAGAGTCCTTCGATCGATGCTCATTCAATTAGCCGGACCCCGTTTTTGATGGCCCATTTGCCGCAGTTTATGGCCTGCTTTAGGGTTACGCCGAAACCCTTTCAAGCTGTTGCCGGTTGACCGTAATGAACGTAAAGTAAAATCCTACGATAGTGTTTTGTTGCTTCGATTGGGCGTTGATTAGCCATAAGTGCCAGGGAAATTTCCGAGCAGCAGTTCGGTTGAGGTATCCCCAATCAGCACAAGTTGTTCAAGAGCTTACGCAATCAAAACAAAGCACTAGACTGCAAAGGGTCCCTACTGAGTGCCACCAGGGGTTGCTCAGGGGTTCCCATGGTCGCCGTATCAGAGTTTCAGGGAACCCAGAAGCCCCGAGACAATGAATTCACGCTCAGTCGTCATGACCGGGTTGCCATCGCTTTCCCCTCCACCAAAATCATCATCAATCGACTCTTATCGGTCAATAGACTGCCAATTTCTTAATAGCCTTTTTAATATATATTTTTTAATGTGTCTGTACGTATGTTGATTAGGGTGGACCCTAATGGTATTGTACCTAACTAAAAGGTCTATAATCTGTTTTACTAAATGGAAGTTTTACTGTGAATGCCTGAAAAAGATGAACTACCACAAAATAATTGTAGTAATTATTTGAATATAAACTAATCAACAGTGCAGAAATCAGCGAAAATATGTGTTCATTTATTAATTTATTAACGCTAAGTTTTTGAAATTAATTCTTATATATGGAATAAGAAGACGGTTGTAAATTGTTTATTGACTATCAACACTCTGCTTTTGTATCTAAAACGATTCAAATCAAATAATCACTTGTGAATGAAAAATACCTTCTCAAATACAGCTTTAAAAAATAAAAATATGTTGTATATTTAACTTTCCAAAAGTCACAGAAATCAAAATCACCGAACTATTTTTCTATTTGGCACTCCAATGTTATCCAGTTTTATTTTCTACCTGTTGGCCCCTAAAGGCAATGTTTTGCAAACAAAGGCCTCCCACTCGGAACCAGTTTCAATCCGGTTCTACCATTGCTCAAATGATTCTCCTGACCTGAACACAAAGAACTGATAACGTCTGATCAGCAACCAAAGGTCCGTTTGCATTAGCACAAACCCGAGACGGACTTTGCATCCAAGAACTTTTCCATCGACACTAGACGAGTCGGGAAATAACTGCCACGGCACTTGGTTATTCGGGTTACATAAACCCCACTCACAGGCTGTCGGGGTCCGTGGGAGCTGACCGCTCGCCAGGCGTTCCTGGAGAAGCCGTTGCGCAGGCTCTGCGCCAGGAGAAAGCTGTTGCGCAGCATTTCGGGGCTTAGTCTTGGGGGATATTTGTTTAGGAGTACAACGGATCTTCTTAAAGTCACGGAACGCGCACGGAACCGCACCGCAAAGCCCGACAAGTTCTACTGAGGCGAACCAACGGACTGACCGCCCCGAAAGCGGCTCCTGATAATGTGGGGCAAACATGTGTAATTGTAAGTGTTCATTGCGATTGCGATTAAAATTTGGTGTTCGGCCGGCCTCTCTGGCCGTGTTATCAATCAGAGCAGCTCGCTCGCTCCCAGATTGTGACAAACACCCAACCGGAGAGAGTCCGAGCGGTCTTATCAAGTGGAGCAAGTGACGGGAAGAGCGCTTATCTAGCGACTTGTGTTTGCTAGGCCATTTGGACACTCCGCTCGGCAGTGACGAAGTGCCAGGTATCTCGAAAAACCCCTTGGTGCAATCACTCACCGAAGGGCCTCCACTTGAACGGAAACACAGTTAAGTATTTTTCACCCTGAATTACCCATCGAATATTATTGCCTCTCGGCCAAAATTGAAGCGCTTAAAAAATACCCATAAATAACAGGCTGTTGCAAATATTAATTAACTGCTGGAAATGTCAACATGTTTATTTCAATGGAAAATTGACAGAGAATTCCGCCGGGCGCATAATCAGTGCACATTGTGTTGAACTATCCTGCAGCTATTCATTTAATTACTTGCCCAAAGTAGCAGCCACATTAGTGGGGGAAACGACTTTCGGATGACCTGTGAATTGCCGGCAGTTCCAGGGGGGCCAGCTAACCTTGTATGTCCAGCGCATCCGGAATGGATCCCCGGAAACGGCAGAATCAAGCCCTGACAAAGACAACGACTGACACCCGGACACAGAATTATTTTCATAATTAAATGACATTAAAAAGTTTTGTTGCAGCATAGTGGTGTAGTCCTGTGTCCTGTGCAATGCATAGAAAAGCCATAAAATACAATACCAAATGGCAACAGGCCTCCGGAGAGGCGGGGTTAGTGGCCAGTCAGTTGGGTTGGGCTGCCTGGGGTCAGATAAGTGCAAAATTATGTCCCGCCCTCCTTCGACCCCCTCCTCGAAAAACTGGCACAAGTTTTTCAATCGAGCTCTGCCATTGTTTATGACTGGGTTTTGCTGGTTTTGCTCCAGTACTGAGTGCTGACCGCAGGTCGCAAGAACTCTGCAAATTTATATGCCCCGGAGTAAGAAGCCAAGAATATTACGCATACGCCAAGTAGGCCACTGGTAGAAATAGTTGTCAAGTCGAGCGGAATGTGCTGGGGTGATTTAGTGGGGTTTCTTTGCCAGGCCGGGAAACTCTCTTCTCGTATTGTATTTTATCTGGAGCTTTGTGCTGGCGAAAACCTACTCAACTCTGAAATTGTTTGAAACTGATACGTAAATATCTGGTTTTTATTATTGTTTCATCTGGCTGAATGCGTTTCAGGCGCTGCATCAAAGAGTTTCCCAATTAATTGCTGCCGGAATCCGGAGTCTGCCACAGGATAACTTCAAAGTGCCAGCGAAAGTTGCGCATAACTCGGTTACCATCGAATCGATATTCCGCTTCCATTTGACCAACCAAATTCATTACTTAGCCGTGTTCTTACATGCCGAGCACTCGTCCCTTTTAATCTGGTGCCTCAGCACTTTGCAAACCAAAGACAGTCCGCATCCTGCGGCCGTAAGTTCGTCCTGGCTGCATCCCCACTCCTGTTCGTCCTGTCTTGTCCCCGCTCTTAATGTATGCGCATTGCCAAAGTAAGTCCTGCCAGTCCTCGGAGGCAAGGACTCCCCTTCGCCTGTCACCTCGCCCTCTTTTTGCCCAGGCGGTGAAAAATTCACTTACAAAACACTTACGCCGACACCTTGCCACGCCCCCGCGCACACACACTGGGGAAAAGGGGGAATAGTGGGGAGGGGGAAGGAGGCGCGGCGAAGGAAACTTGTGCATTGCTGCAGAAACTTCATCAAATCCGAGCTAATCACACTTTGATTTGCATTTTGTAACGAAGAGCTGCAGAACTTTCCGGGCAAAAAGCGCATCGCCACCACGAGCAGCACTTAACTCTAAGCGTTGCCCCGACATTGATGAATGAAGCAGACCCCCTCCACCTCCTCAAATCCCTCGAATCCCTCCCCGCGGCCCCGCCCACTGCATCTGGTAATTATGCTAATGAGATGTCTTCAGTTAGAAGGGAAGTAGACTTGGCTGCCTCTGCCACTTGAGTTAAATGCAATTAATTATATTTTTTACGCCACCAAGAGCCTTGGGGATTCGATTGTACAATCGCATGAGGATATAGAGATATAGTGGGTGCTTCGGAAAACTCTGGACTTTGAAGTCTATTAATTAGGTTGTTAATTACTCTGAACTGTCACAACTTTCTAAGTTTCATTTCGATAAATTTGGGCTCGGTAATCCATCAAGTTGGAATAGTAAATAATAAAATCTTCGCAACGTGAAATCCTACCAGAAGTTTGAAAGTGAAACTGGAAAGAAATATGATATGTTGTGAATAATAAAAAATGTTGTTTCAACACACAACCTTTTAAGAATTAAGCTGTCGATAAATTCGATTAAGATAATTCAACAAAATGGAAGTGGGAAATAGGTAACAATATAAACTTAAATTTCTAAGAATAGATTGAATGTAAAAGTGATTATATGTAAAGGAATAAATAGCTAGCTACAAAGTTTTCCAACACACCCTTTGGGGAGGAATAATAGTACGCTTAAAAGATTCTCTGGTAAATACTTGAAGGACCCCCTTAGAACTCGGTGTGCTCGTAGCCACCGTTGTCGTAGATCGCCATGCTGTTCCGGTTCGCGGACGAGAAGCTGACCTTCTTGGGCACCTGGGGCGGTCGCCGCCCGTTCTTGGGGGTGGGCGTGCCGCCGGGCGTGGCAGCTGCATTGACCTTCGCCTCCGAGCGGCGAGCTTGGAGCAGCTTGACGGACTTGCGGTTGAGGGCCAGGTTCTTGAGGTTCAGCTCGTCGTCGCCGAAGAAGCGGCGCTCGAAGTTGAGCACCAGGTTGCTGTAGTCGCCGTGCGGCTTGTTGCGCGTCTCGTGCAGCCGGAAGATCGTCTGGCGGCGCACCATGCTCTCGCGGTGCTCCGCTTCCGCCCCCTCCATCAGCACCTCGTCGTAGTGGGGGTGCTCCCCCTCCCCATCCTCGTCGTCGTCGAAGAGCCTCTTGGGTCGCTGCAGCCTGCGGGCGATGTTTACCGCACTGCCTTTCAGCTCAGTGGCGGCGTCCTCGTCCGTGAACTGCCCTCCGGAGCGGAACCAGTCCACCCTGGTGGTGGCCAGCAGCTGGCAGAGGGTGGCGAAGCGGTGGAAGAACATGGCCAGGAACTGGATGATGAGGATCAGCCCGAAGAATATCACGAAGCAAAGGCCGATGGGGTCGAGTTCCTTGTACTGCCGGTAGATGCCCACCATCAGGTTGTCCCTATCAAAGGACACGAAGTCCGTGGGATCGATAGGCCACTTGAGGTGGAGGAACTCCTTCTTCAGCTGCAGCAGGAACACTATCAGCACGAAGATGGCGTTCACCATCACGAAGGCGAAGGCGATCATGTTCCGCAGCTCCTTGAGCCCGTCGGCCATCGCCTGCTTCTGCTCGCGACTCAGCTCGAGCGGCTTCAGGTACTGCTTGATGAGGTCCTTCCAGAAGCGCTGCTCCATCAGCGACACCTCGCCCAGCTCCGAGTGGATAAGCAGCGGGTCGTTCAGCCAGCCGGGCAGGTGGTTCTCCGCATCGCTGGGCGCCTCATTGCCGTCGTCCTTCAGCACCGGCGCCTCCCGCGTTCCCCACGAGACGTCGTTCATGTTGAACACCGAGAAGATCATCAGCAGCATGTACATCGAGGGGATCGTGATGTAGTAGATGACCCCGCACAGCAGAGCCCAGAACTCTTGCGGATGCATGAAGCCTAGAAGCCACATAAATTCAAATATTATACAAAATTATAACACCTAGTTATTTCTTTAGTTGGACTCTGAGCCAGTTCGGTAAGATCAACACTTTATATTTAATATACTTTTGAAAGGTAGCAATATACATAAACCAAAAAAGTGAATTACATATGAAATTATTTATGAAAGTTTTTATCTTAAACGGACCAATTTTAAGATACCACCGGATGATATTTTGCAATGAAATATTGGAACGAAAGAAATTTTTTTGAAAGGCGATGTTATTGTCTTTAGTTAGCTATACTGCATTGTACAATTATTGAAATACTATGCCTTCATTTTTCCTGTTTTAACTCACTCTTGTTAGGATTTTTTTCACTTCAATCCGATTCAAGCTAATTAGCCACTACTAATAAATATTTTTCATATACTGTAAGAAAATATAAACTAAAACCAATTCATAGAATAGAAGCGCGATTCATTCTTCTTTCGCTATCAGTTTTTCCGAACCGAAAACTTAGATCAGGTAGAACTTTATGACTCAAATAGAGGACCTCACCTGCGATTGTGATCTGCACGGCGACGAGAAGGAAGAAGAGCGAGGCGGGAGCCAGGGGTCCGTCCTCCAGCATCTGCACGATAATGCCGATGAGGACGGCCATCATGACCAGGCAGTAGAGCGTGCTGATGACGAACGCGATCAGCAGCTGGAACTTCTGCTTGAGGTAGACGCAGGCCAGGATGAAGGAGATGATCGGGAAGAAGTTCCACAGGAAGGCGGTCCAGATGTCGATGGAGAAGACGGCCACCAGAGCGCCGACCATCATGAGGAAGATTGTCCCAGGGCCGAGCACTGTTCCGATCATCAGCATGCCCTGGTACCACACGTACATCGTGGAGATGGAGTTGTTCCTCCGCACCACCGTCTCCGCGTCCGCCAGGATGTCGAAGATGTTGGCGATGGTGGAGGGCACCCAGCGGCGGCGCTGGTTGTAGAACTCGTTGAAGCTCTCCGGAGCATGGGTGTAGGCGTCCGAGGCGGCGCAGTACTCCACCCGGGAGCCGGCCTTCAGGAGCAGGGTGCACAGCCATCGGTCCTCGCCCTGGTCGTACTGCACCATCTTCATGGCCTCCGAGCTGACCATCGTGTAGCGCTTCATCACGCTGTTGTCCATCAGCGCACTCGCTCGGAAGAGGCTGAAGCACCCTGGGCTGCAGAGGACGCACCCGATCACGTGCTCCGTGGCCTTCTGAAGCCAATGGCCGATGGCGTACTCGAAGCGCTGGTACCACACCATCGGCCCCCTGCCCACCGGATGGATCCGCCCGCAGGCGGCGCCCAGCTCGTCAACGGCCTTCATCCGGTCGATCAGCAGCTGCACCGCCCGCGGCTGGAAGTCGATGTCCCCGTCCAGGGCCAGGATAAAGGTGTTCTCCGCGATGACCGCCTTGCGGCGCGGCGACAGCTGCTCCGTCTCCATGATCCGGTAGCCCAGCAGGTAGTACATGTACATCACCTGCGACCAGCGCTTCTTGTGCCGGATCTTGTCCTTGTTCTTCAGGTGGGCCACCATCTTGGTGCGCCCGGGCAGGGTCCACACCAGCCGTCCGCCGTAGGGCGTCTCTATTTTCAGGGGCGGCTTCATCCGGATCGCGACTCCGTACACCTCGAAGGCGGCCTTGTCGATGGTGCGGGTCAGGGTCTTCACGTACTCGTTGATCGGCGGGTTGCGCTTGTTCTGGCACTGGCGAGGGTCCAAGACGAAGGCATCGTCGAAGAATATGTTTGCTGTGGATGCAGCATAATTGATATTTATGGTTTTTCGGGGGCAATAAATCCAAAACCTTTTTTAAAGTCATTCTTAAAAATAATCAATGTTTAACAGTATTAATAAAAAGTTTCTGAATAATAAAGCTAGGTTCAGTAACAATAGTTATTATCATTATTTGTACTTCTCAGAAATAATATAAATTTATTCTAAGAATTTAATTTTTTTTAACGAATCGATTGCAAGTTTTATGATTTTATTTGGGAAAGTTAAAGTTATTTAAAATATTTGGACACATAAGTAATTTTAACTAAATTATTTTAAATGTATGTACTATATGGTGCGTTGGACGAGAGTTGTCCTCAATAAACATTCTCAAAAGAGTTAAAATAAAATTAACAAGGCTTTTAAAATTTATGACTTCGAATCGACCCGGTTTCGACACATTGTTTATTCCTTGTGTAGAGCTGGAATTAGGCAGATCGTAAAGTTGTCGCAGACAGTTGCCGATGCTTGGCTTAGTGCCATTTTGGCAAGCGCGGAAATGAAGTCGCCAAGCAATATAAGTAGAGCTGCAAACGGCTTCCCGGGCTTGCATAAATTTCCACTTTGACACATTTTAAATGTGCAATGCAAATGCAGTTGCCGTTGACTGCAGAAGACAGAAGCTTCAGCTGCACTTGCATCCCCGCCCTCGCATTCTGTCCCCCTTTACTTACTCTCCAATTCATAGTACTCGTCGTCCGCCTTTCCGCCATTCAGGTGCGTCCTCGCCATGCGGCGGGCGCATTGATCCTCATCCAAGCGGACAATTGACTTGAGGAACTCCATCATCTCGTCCTCGGTCTCGTGCCACATGGTGGCGCACACAATCAGCTGCGGCACCTTGTCCTCCTCCAGGATGTCCCTGCTGGCATTGACGTCTCCTGCCAGGGCCACCACGGGATCCCTGGGCGTGGTGAGGTCGCTCTGCGGATGGAGAGGATGTGGATGTGGGTGTGGATGTGGGTGCAGAGATACGGGCTTAGTCTAAGCTCCGAATGATTGCAGTGCATATCAAGTGGTTGCTGGGGGAAGGCAATGCGGTATTTGCGGAACATCAAGTGCCTCACAGAGTTGCCAAGAATAATTTGGCAGAAGTACACAATTGTAAATAAACGAGTCCTGCTCTTCGGAATTGGGATTTGGGATTGCAATTGTGTGCCCCTCGAATTTACATTCCCAATTTTGAGCAATGTTTGTCGCAACTTTAAGGCTTATTTCCACCTAATGCCACGACATCATTACGAATGCACATAATTCGCCGACCCTCTTATTTATGCCCTCAAAATCAACTCTTTTGCCCTGATTTTAATTACTTTAATGTCTTTATGCCGGGTAGGCCCCGAAAACATGCGAGTGGAGCTGAAACACTTTTAATTAAGTTTACACCCACCGAAAAGCCTCGCATCCCAGCCACGTCCTTTCCCCTTTCCACGCGGCCAAACGCAAACATTTCCTGAACTTTGCAGTTTCCCCGTCATTTAACTTAATTACATTGCCTGACATTTGAAGCGCACATCAGTAGTGCCGGCAGTCCGGGCACTCTCCGCCGGAATAGTCGAAAGTCCCCGGAATAGGTGGCTCTGCTTGGAGCGAACTGCGAAGTTGGCGCGATGATTGATGCCAGGCAGGCGCCTGATTACAATAATTCATTAACATGAACTCGGCGCAAATCTGGTTTGGCCCACTCAGTTCCGGGGGAAGTCCTTCTCCCATCCACCCCCAACTCACCTTGATGGCCAGGTACTCCTCGCTCCAGTCCACGATCCTGCGGTTCATCAGGGAGCACTGGTCCACCAGAAGTCCGCAGTACCACGGACACACGAAGAGCTTCTCGGTTTGCGCGTTCTTGTCGTTGCGCGGCTGCCAGACGTGCAGGCAGGTCCAGAGCTGCGCCAGCATCCACAGGGGCCACAGCCAGAGGGCCCAGTTGAGGCACTGCTCGCCCAGCTCCTCTGTATTTCCAGCCAGTGCTCGGAGCGCCAGGTAGTCCGGCAGGAGGCCGTGGAGAGCGCAGGGATCCGCGGCCCGCAGCTGGGCGAGCACGGTGGCCAGGACCACGGAGGCAGGTCCCGCCAGGCTGAGGGGCAGCGCAAAGCTGAACACCTGGATCTTGATTTTGCAGGCGAACTTGCCAAAGACGTGGCTCAGGTACGCTGCCCCCACCTGGGCAACCAGTGCGTAGACCACCGCGTTCGGACTCGACTGCATGGTGAACTGCGTCCTCGGCGGCGGCGCCCTGATTGATGAGTTCGTCTGCGCCGCAATCAGCGCATCGGGGTCGCCGCCACTCTGCTGCAAGTGCACAGAAAGTAATAAGTAGTCATAATAAAATTGTCAAAAATCTCGCTTGGTTATTCATAATATTTTACCACATACTTTTAAAAATAAAAATAAATTACTCTTAGTAAATACAAGTCATGCCAAAAAATATAAGCCTTCTATAGCTAAGAAGTTAAATTTTGAATGATTTAAGCGTATAACTATGAGATATAACTATTTTAATAACCCAATTATTTATTTTTTGAAAATGAAACAGAATCTTAAAACGTTTTGCTCAATGTGAGGGGTAACCACTAGCTCACTGGGTGGACTCCACTCACCACCAGCGTGATGAGGTGCGGCTGCCAGGCATCCAGGAAACGGCTGAAGTACTGAACAAATTCCTGTCCGTGGAGAAGGAAGCCCACCCCCGCGAAGACCACCACCTTCAGGGGCGCCAGGTAAAGGTAGGTGTGGTAGCGGGAGCGGGTGCAGCGGATAGTACGAATGATGTATGCTGGCGGTGGGGGAGAGAATAGAAAGCATTCCAAAGTTTGATTGGTCATTTGAAACTAGAATTCTTTAGAAATCTGTGAATATTGAAGAACGACCTGTTGTTTTGCAAAACTTTAACTGATTTCTGAGAAATTTTTATTCAAAAGTATGTATGGATTGTTAGTATAAAGTATTAGTATGGAAGGGAGTGATACGTTCGGATATATTTACAAAAAAAATGGTAAATTTATTTAAATATTTTATAATATATAAAATAATAACGAATACTTTTATTACTTATTCTTTTAATTGTATTGAATTTTGAATAAAGTTTTGTTATGTCGTCACAATATCGCTATGACAGTACTTTTCAACTATCGTATCGAGCTATAAGTATCTCAACCTTTAAAACTTGTCTTACGAATCCTGCTGAAACCTAACCTTCTCCAATGTCAAGGCTCAGTCAGTTATCAACAAGCAACATACTCACCGATGGCCTCATGGGTGTTGGCGAAGTTCTCCCACCAGCGGAACGAGACGAGGAGTAGCGGGAGGGCCAGGAGCTGCACCTCCAGGCTGTCGCTCATGGAGGGCCAGACCAGGAAGACGCTGCCCTGTGCAACGAGGGCCAGGATGGAGAGGCCGAGGACCAGGCTGTCCGCCGACCTCCATTGCACCCGCGTGCCCGTCAGCAAGTCTGAAACGTTGAGCAGCGGGGCAATCAATTTAATTGTTGTCACCGATAACAGCTGGGGTGCTTGTCAGGGGGGGAGTGGAGCTGTTGGTTCTCGGGGAGCTACTCACTCAGCAGGGCGGGCACGAAGCAGACGCAGCAGCCGAGAATGGCACCGCGAGTCACATCCAAGGCAGGGAGCACGGTGAAGGTGAGCAGGGCCAAACCCACGACGTGCAGCAGCTCGAAGAGCGTGACCTGATTAGCGGGGACTTATCAATCAATCTCCACCTGGGTTAGGGTGGCTCAACTTGTGGGTTCAGTTAAGGAGTAAGATCTTAAGGTTTTTTTTTGGAGGGAAAATGTCAAAGAAGGTTTTATTTCATCAGATGAAAACAGATTGCTTTATAATCTGTGAGAGTTATTAGCTGATGAAATCATTTACAAGAATAAGTATTTTAAACTCTCAGAATATACTCTTTTAAGCATTTACTGATGGTTAAATATTTATATATCATACGAGTTTCTCAACCAACAAAGTTCTGTTTGCTCTACACTCCGCCATTAAATGCAGTTCACTGCAAAAAGCTTTACTTTTGTTTGTAATAAAATAATGCAATGTTAGCAAACTGAAATGATAAGTGTGTTTACGTTAGATAAAAGATTGACCACACTGAAAATGTTAAGCTTTTGTAAAAAAACAACAAGCTTGTTTTAAGCTTAACGAATGGTTGTTCAAAATTGTGATGCACTATTTTTCGCCCACAAATCGTGCCACCCCATTACTGCCCGTAAACGAAATACCCACCAGTCCCACTTCCAGTCCACTGGGTCTCTGCTCCCGCTTGAACATGCAGATGCGGAGGGCGCGCAGAAAGGTGAGCAGCTCGGGGGCGGCGAAGGCAAATATCAGCGCCCAGACCCAGGCGATTTGGTCCAGCTCACTGGAGACCGCCTCCACCTGGCCGTGTCGCAGAACTTAGAGTGGGGAAATAAGCAACTCTTGAATGGTAAATCCCAACAGGGTAATCCGGGGTAATCACTTACGATACTTGCTGCACACTTGCACTCGCGGTCCGCTGCCGCCTGTGTTTCCGGCCATGTAGAGATAAAGCAGCTTGGCGAACACGCTCGTGGCAAGAACCACCGCGAAGACCAGCAGGTAGACGCAGAGCTTGAAGAGCTTAAGGAAGAAATGCAGCTTCTTCCAGTCGACGTCGGAGCCGCTCGTCTTCCTGGATGGTGGGTCCTGGAAGGAGTCCCACAGCGGCGGTCTATCGCGCACCTTCCTGGAAGGCAGAGGAAGTGCTGGTTAGCGGTGACATCATATCCTGATTAACCCGAACCAACCGACTGCGCATAAAGTAGTCACCGCTCTCGTAGTCTCCTCCGCTCATGTCTGTCTAGGCCCATCGGCAAATTAAAACTGACTGGAAATCGGGTATCGGCAACTGGCAATTGGCACACCGGACCTGGCCAACCGATCGAGTGATCGGGAGATCGCAAGATAAGGGTCTTCGGGGCGATATCATCGCTGCATAGGTTGTCAAAGAGAAAACAAAACAGCTCTGATAAGACACCCCCGAACCCACAGGTTCGCCGACTTTAATTGCAATTACAAATGCCATCAAATCAAATCACAGCAGTGTGGCCCATTCATAAAAAAAGCACACGAACCGGGGTTTATGGAGTCCCAATCGGTTCCTTTGAGGAATGGTTCTGTTTGAATTAGTTACAGCCTAGTTCATGTGTCCCCCTCGTCGAATAGTCGAAGTTGTTCAGCTTATTGTCCGACATGAGTCATACAAGCACTGAAAGTTGTAGCTCGACTTCTTGACAAAACTTTTGAGTATCTCCGATAGCGGTGGAGTTCCACTTCCACCTGCAACGAAGGGGAAGCCACTTGAGTCGGAGCAAGGCAATGCGAAAGTTTGTTTGATCTCTTGATTGCTATACTTTACGCTCATCAAACAGTTTCTGCTTTGGGAAAGGTTTATGTTTTTATGATTTGTCCCACACTTAAAGTGCATATAGTACGCTACATGCGTTTGGGGCGCCTCAAGTGTTTCTATTTATATCTCAAGTTTGACCGAACTGTGTTCGGATCACTTGAACTATCATAAGAACTTTGTTCTACCTATTTTTGCATTTTGAAAAAACATGTATAAAAACCTTTATTTTTTGACCCCCAACTCGAAGATCCAGTTATTTGTTAGTAATAATTCAAACAGTTTTTCTTTAAGTTTTTTTTTAGCTAAATAATACTCATGTTCTGTTCTTTATGAGTTTCTGGCGCCGATTGAAAAAAAAAAAAAATAAATTCTGATAATACAGAGAGGTTAAGAAAGATGATAATTATGTGATATTACTTCTTGTGGTTATAGTTCCTTAAGTACCATCTTTATAATGGTTATTTTTTGTATCTTCTTATGCTAAAATTACATTACTTTACCGCCCCTCAACGTATGTCAGCCAAACTAGACTTTCTACCTAGCGTTAAGCGGCGCCACTAAGCCACTTTCAAATGTTGTGTAGAAATCAATGTAGAAATACAAGTCAACATGCCAAAAGTCTGGCAACACTTTCAGACAGTTTTTTAACTTTTTGGCGGAATTTGTTTCAATTTAATGAAGTTTTACAATTTTATTCGCTTCTTTGTTTGAATGCAAATACAATAACAACACTTTATATCGCAAGCCTGTAATTTTTGTGAAACGAAAATCACTTTTGAAAAAATAATTCGTTTTGTAAGTAACTTAGATACTATAATTGCATTGGATGTTTTAATTAATTGGTTTTAATGGGAAACAATGGTTGCTAAAAAGGAGGAGGGATAAAAATTAACAATTTAAGATTAATTTCAATATTATTTTATGTTGAGGTATTATCCTGTTCCCTGCCATTAGAAGATCGATTTGATCACCTATGTATTAAAAAATAAATAGTGGCGCTTGCAGATTTTTGTGAGTTCTGCAAATTAAAAAGAAGCTATTAGGCTTATAAATATAAATATGACAGAATATTTCAGCTAACGATAAAATCGGCTTGTACGGACGAACCTAAGCTACATAAATAAAACACTTTAAAAAATCAACAAATGCATTGGCTGTCACTTAAACTAACACATATTTGGCTTCTACTAGCCTCCTTTCAGTTCCCAGTCCAAGATCACTATTGAATGACCTTGCTCGCCACCCTCTCCCCCAACTCTTCCGCCGCCGCCTCCTCACGCTCCCGCCTCCTCTTGGCCACATTCAAGTCGCGCGCCTCCTCCATTGTGGTGGGCAGCACCTTGTCAGCTGTCTCCGGAAAGGCCAAGGTCAGGAAGCCGCTGATCAGAGCGAAGGTGGCGAAAAGGATCTGAGGGGCGTAGATGTAGTACTTGGCCTGAAAAAGTAAATACATGGGTTAAGTGGTTGCCAAACTAAAAACCATTGCCATACTAACCAGCAGAGGAGTTTGGGGCGCCAACATGGAGCCGATGCGACCCACCATCGAGCAGAGGGACAGCAAGCTGTTCCGCACGTTGGTGGGGAAGATCTCCGAAGTGAAGAAGTACAGGATCTGAAAGCTGCAGGTAATGGCCAGCTTTCCAATCAGGAACAGGGTCAGGGAACCAGCGTAGTTATCTGCAAATATTTCAATTAAATGTATGAAAAATAAATTAAATTAAATTAAAACAAATGTATGTCGAGGCAGTCTGATATTTTCTGTAAAAATCAGATGCCTTAAAATACAATTGCGCATTTGCACTCAATTAGTATTAATTTGAAACTTAAAGCATCACTTACCTGCTGCGACTCCAGCTGAGGCTCCCATGCAAATGGCGCAGAGGAGCATCGAGGCACAGAGCGAGTAGCGCCGGCCCACGCGATCCATGATGATCAAAGGCAGGAGCAGGCCGGGGATCTGGATAAAGCCGTTCAGCATGAAGTTGGTGTACTTGTTGCCGCCCAGGTTCACCGAGTTCAGACTGAGTCCCAGGGCGATCAGCGTGTGGGTGAACCAGCAGAGGCAGCAGTTGGCGATCCGCAGCGAGAAGAAGCGCACGGCGCGCATGATCGGGTACTGGCTCTCGTTGGCCTGGCTGAGCTTCTGCCGGTTGGTGGCCAGCAGCTCATCCACCTGCTCCTCGGGCAGGGGCCGCCTGTTGATCCGCGCCGCCCGCCGCAGTACTGCGGCTGCCCGCTCCTCGGCGCCCTGGCTGAGCAGCCAGCGGACGCTCTCGGGCAGGATCCACAGGAAGAGGATCTGGAGGATGGCCGGGGCGTAGAGCACGCGGAGCAGCCAGCGCCAGTGCTGCACCTGCGAGGCCAGGAACCCGAGGAAGGCCTCGCCCAGCGCGTAGAAGATCGTGATGATCGTGGCAGCTGCCACCCGCCGCTTCGGACCCACGAGTTCGATGGCCAGGAGGAAGGCGGTGGGGAAGAGGGTGCTGCCCACCGCCATGTCGAGGAACTCGAACACCAGGAACATGGAGTAGTTGCTCGACAGCGAGCGGATCACGCCCATGAGGGCGCTCAGGGCTCCGGCCACGGCCAGCATGGTGCGACGTCCGAACCTTGGATAAAGTTGTTTTGGTTTAAATCGAATACTAATCACAAAAAGTTAATATCACTTACCGATCTGCGAAGTATCCTCCAAGGGGGATGCCCACGAACTGGCCAACATTGTTGATGGTTCCCACCATAGAAAGCTTCCACTCGTCTTCGCAGTAAATTCCAAACTTGAGAGGTGTACATTTTATCGGATTTCATAATAAGTTGTTAATAAATATTAAGAATATTATTAGTAACTCTGTTACACTTAGTACTTAAATCTTTTCCCAAAACTATTCATTAATTATTATACCAAAGAGGAGGAGGATAATGAAGTTAAACCGAGATAAGATAAGCTTTACAAAAGAATTTACGCTTCATTTTTTATTTCTGCACTAACACATATTTCCACGTACACTTACCTAAGAAACGTGATAAATGTCTATAGAGTAATTATAAATTTGTAATGAGTTTGTCACCCTGTAACCCCTTTAAATAAAGTTACCTTCCAATTGGTTGGTACTTGAAAAGGTGTTACTAATAACAAAATCATATTTCAGTATTACATTTTTTTTTCGTATTGGCTCTGATAAAAGTAATACCTATCGAACCCTTTCCAGTTTTTTAGTTACTCCCGTACGTGTGACTACTCACCTCCGTTGATATGGTTTTTTCCTCGTCCCTGAACTTGAAGTCTCGCCCGCAGGTCTCTGAGTTATCAGTGAAGTACTCGCTGGCGCAGTAAGGTCCGGATGGAACCGTGAGGAGCTCGGTCTGATTGACGGCGTAGCGGTGGCAGGAGTCCCAAGCGGAGTTCTTGTACGGGATGGTGAAGTTCAGCCAGCTCTCCTCGTACAAACTGCTGGCACTGTCGCACTGCGGAACGTTGCACCTGAGTCGAGTTGAATACCTCAAGATTTGGAACTCAATTTCACGGGCAGTTCGCATACCTGTGCACCACTGTGCTCGCCGAGAAAACATAGGAGATGGAGAAGAAGGCGTTGAAGAGCATGGGAACGCAGAGCAGCACGTAGTTGATGATCTGATAGCGTCCGAACTGGCCGATCCGCACCAGAATGGCGTCCAGAGAGTTGTCCTCATCCCCGCTGGCAGTAGGTGGTGCCGCCTCCGGGTCTGAGTGTCCATTGGACTTGGCGCTGCTGCCGTTTCCCTCCTTCTGGCTGGTCATTTCGCACCGCTGAACTGAGGGGCAGCCAGACACGTGGTAGAATGCACTCTTTAATCGCTGTTTTATAACTCGCACGGCGCGATCTTTCCGCTGAACGATTTACGCTTTCAGCTGTTGGCCTTATTTTTAGACGCTTTGGAGCGCTTCAGTCGCGCTGGGAGCAGTGCTACGCATTGACTGACTCGAGCACTCGAACTGGTCGGGTTTGCTGCTCGCAGCGCCGCTTTGATTCGACGCACTCCGATAATTCCGCTCTCGGGCGGTTCTATTTTTAATCCGTCTGCTCTTCTCCATGTTGCTTCTCTTCCCTCCTTATCGGGGTCTTATCAGGCCCAATCCCGCCGAGCTATTTGCACTTCCCAACGATACCAGTGCGTATAACCCAAACAATCCAAATCCGAACGCGTTTAGTTCTGAATGGGTTAATATCAATCGATTCGGGAACCGGTTTGGCTAGAATTGTTTATCTGACAGACGGCGAGACGTGGTGTCAAGTGGGTGGAAGGTGGAGAACAGCTGTTCCCGCCTGTTAGCTGATTGCTCCACTAGGTCAACAAGTTGCCCGACCTGTCCCTCTGTTCCTTATCTTGCACCACTTGCCCGTGTCATTGACTTTGGCACATGTCTCTAGATTGTTTGCCTTTACACATGATTTACTTTACCCCTCCATAAGATTATTACCCGAGCAAACTATGTCCGCAAGTCCAGTGCCTGACTGACTATTCAATCGCTGGGTTGCCGAGCAGATACATCAGCGATAAGTGCGATGAAGCCACAATAAATTGGCGCTCGGTGAATTGATGGCGCGCTGTAATTGAAATTGCTTGATGGATCTATGGCACAAGCCCCTCTACAAGGGAGGCATAAATCAGTAATGTTTCGCTGAAACGCTGGTCATGCGGCTGATAAGCTCCGATTGCAAACGGAATTAGATAAACCTTCCAGTTAAGCACATACGAGTATTTGCTTTGTTAAGCCACTTGAATAAAAATCAATTTAGTATTTAGTATGCATCTCATTTATTAAAGACCTTGCACCATAGAAGTCAACTGAAGATAACAACATATACCTTTATCTAACAAAATGCACCAAAGCAGGAAATAATTAAAGGATTTGGGGGTTTGGAAGGCGTTTTACGATCGGTAGATAGGGTTGGCCTAGGTTAGTTCTCCCGTTTGTCCATTGCGACACCTTTTGGATTTTATCAATGAAATTATAAACCAAGTATTAGCATCTCTTCGGATTGCTTTGGTGGGGTTTAGTTAAAAAAAAAATAATAATACAGTGTGGAGCCTTTCAATCATTCTTCTAAATAAATTTAGCAGCATCAATTTCTATTTCTTTCTTTTTCGTATGAATGCTTTATGATAAACTAGGGTACTTAAGGTTTAAAACTAGTTATTCTTCTATTGTTAAAATGGCTAATGTGGTCTTGTTGTGCCTTGCACATTAAGCACCAAAAACAGAACCCCTTCTATATACCTTATTTCAGAAAAAAAAAATTCTCTTTATAATACATATCTTGGAATACTATATTGGGGCATAAAATGGTAAACATTATTTTTTTATTAATTCTCTTAAGGCTTTTTAACAAGTATTGCCTATCATAATTTTTGACTTCGAAAAAAAGCATTTTAAGTCGCTTATCAAACCGACTGAGCTTACCGTTAAAGTTTTCATTGCCTTCTTAAATTGGTTAGGAATTAATTGCTCACTTTTGACTTGCATGTTTGCCGAGCGTTAAAAATCACACTAGATAGTGCCCAATTCCGATTAAACAGCACTTTTCGAATTGTTTTCTTTGGGAATACTTTTGTCCAGGGCACGGGCCTCAGCCAGCGATGTGGGCAGCGCCTTGTTGGTTGTCTCCGGGAAAAGCAAGGAGAGGCACGAACAGGTAAATCCAAAAAGAGCGAACAGCAAATGGGGAGCGTACTCGTAGAGATCAATCTAGAAGGAAGTACTCGTTACCTGGCATTGGATGCGGATGGAGAATTCCAAACTTACCAACAAGGTGGTTTGGGGGGCCAGCATGGAGCCGAAGCGACCAATACTGGAGCAGAAGGAGAGCATGCTGTTCCTGCAGCTCGTCGGAAAGATCTCGGATGTGAAGAAGTACAGGATCATGAAGCTGCCCGTGGACGTCATTTTTGCCAGGAAGAAAAGTATCGAAGAGGTCAAAGGATAGGCTGTTGGAATACAGACATGAAATTTACATGATAAGAGACATATGATCGGAAAGCATAAAAATCTAATGCAAAGTGAAGAAATATCTCTTGGTCAATATATTTTTAATCAAAAATATGATTTAAGTCTTATTAAAGTAGTTCAAACCGTATACAATTTTTGAGCTTCCATAAAAAGTAATTCGTAAATGGCTTAGACGTAAATAAGTATGTCGTAATGAAAGTGCTATGTTTTATTTTCCAGGCCCTTTGTTTTTCAAGCTTTGATTCCCCTTCAACACAATCTCGAAACTTACCATCATCCGTGGCAGCCACTGCCAGAAGGAGGGCTGCACAGGTGAATTGGCAAGAGCAGAGTGCCCAGCGCCGTCCGACCCAGTTCATGAGTGTGGTGGCCATCAGGATGCCCGGTAACTGCATGAACCCCGTCATGATGAAATTATCGAACTTGTTGCCACTCAGCTGAGTGGAGTTCAGGCTGAGGCCCAAGGCGATGAGGGTGTGGGTGAACCACACGAAGCAGCACAGGGCGGTGCGACCACCCAAGGCCTGGTAGATCTGGCGGACGCTGTACTGACCCCTGCTGGCGGAGGACTGGGCCACCAGCCGGCGGTTCGAGCGCACCAGAGCGTTGAGCTTCTCCTCGTCAAGGGCCCGCCGGTTCACCCGAGCCGCCCTCCGCAGTGCGGCCTTGGCGTCCAGCTCCTTCTCCTGGCTGAGCAGCCAGCGCACGCTCTCTGGCAGCAGGCAGTAGAATGTAAGGTGCAGCAGCGCCGGCGCGTAGAGCACGCGCAGCAGGAGGCGCCAGTTGCGCAGGTATTTGGCCAGGTAGCCCATGAGAGCCTCCGCCAAGCCGTAGGTTAGGCTGATCCCGGTGGCGGCCACCACACGGTGCTTAGGTCCCACCAGCTCCACGGCCAGCAGGAAGGCGGTAGGAAACAGGGTGCTGCCCACCGCCATGTCAAGGAACTCTAGACTCAGAAAGCTGTAATACTCTGGTGCGAATGAGCGAGCTAGTCCTGCGAAGGCGCTTAGAACTCCTGCGGCAACCAATATGAAATTTCGACCATATCTACGAGGAAAGAGGAGTTTGATATTGCGAATGAATCATTTTATAAAAAAAGGCTTAAATAAAAATGGCAAAGATTTAGGGATAGCTTTAAGGGGCACAACTAGTGTGGCATTTCAAAAAAAACTTTTTGTTTTCTTTCATATTTCGGTAGATTACACCTTTAAAAATAACATATTAAAATGTCAAATCGATATCTCAAATAGTTTTTGAGTTATAACAATTTTAAGAGCAGCCGCTCGTATAACAGTGAATACGATCATTTTATCTTTAAACGCTTTTTTCTCGAAACAGCAATTTGCTGTAGTGATAACTTAAAAACTAATGATCCGATCACTATCAAATTTTTTTTACATGTTCTATATATAGTTCTCCCTACAATGACATATCGATTTTTTGATCCGATCAAAAATCAAATTTTGGCAGGCCAAAAACAACCAAAATTTTGGATAAAATTCGTTTTTTTTGTTTCAAATTTTTGATATTTTTGATTTATTGTAGGTCATTGTATAGACAATATCATCTAGTTTAACGAGAATTTTTCATTTTTTGATTTCATCCACGAAGAGGGCACTTTTTTTTAGCGCCGTTGGAGATCGGCTCTAACTTAAAATATATTTAATTTTTTTCTTTCAAAATTTCACTGTATATTCTTCAAACATGTATAAATATATTCTGAAAATTTTAAAATAATTAATCAAGTAGTTTTTTAAAATAAATTCCCAAAAACCACCTTTTTTTTGGCCATCACACTAGTTGTACCCCTTAAATCAAACTATAGTAGACACAAAACTATAAACATTCATATATAATATAACCTAAATATTCTACTCATACCAACAACATTTCCGATATATGCGTAGTCTCAATAATCTATTCTGTCTTATGTCATTTCGACTTAATACGTCCAGTATTATCCAATATGATTTATGATATACTTTATTGTAAGCAATAAACTTTTTAAAAAGGCGACTGCTTAATAATACTTATCTCATTTAATAATAGGTACTTATCAAATTTACTGTTTAGAGTACTTACAATCTATCTATTTTCCCAACCCATACCTGATTTCAAATATTCTTATTAAATGGGGTTTTTCTTCTGATTAAACATACCGATCGGCCAAATAACCGCCTAGAGGTATACCGACAAACTGTCCAATATTGTTGACTGTGCCCACCATCGAAAGCTTCCATTGGTCAGCGCAGAAGATGCCGAACTGATTTGTTGAGGGAAAACACCAAAAATCAAATCAAGTCCCTCTGAATAGCTCTTTTTATACGCACCTCACTGGCAATAGTTTGTTCGTCCCCTAACATCTTGAAGCCCGCATCGCAGGGGACCTGATGGGATACATTGAAACTGTTGGCATTACACGGAGTGGTTCCCTCCAGATCCGATATCACGGCAAAGTGCTCGCACTGATCCCAAGCCCCGTGGCGCAGCGGAGTGGTGAAGTTGAGGAAGGGTTCATAGTACCCGGTGTCCAGGCCGTCGCACTGGGTGATGTTGCATCTTTGGTGGATCACATCTAAAGATGCCAATTACAAAACACTTATGTGACCCACTCACCTGAAGGAGACTTCCCCGGCGGTGAAGACATAGGAAATGGAGTAGAAGGCGTTGCAGATGATGGGCAGACAGAGCAACAGGTAGTTTGAGATCTGGAAGCGACCGAACTGGCCGATCTCAACGATGATCGCGTCCAACTGATTCTCCTCCGTCGAATTGGGATCGACCTCCACATCTGGTGCGGATTTGGTATTCTCCACCTTCAATGTTGGCTGCAGGTTAAGCATGCTGCCGGTTCCACAGAACTTCGCCAAGTGACTGAGCCCGGATTGATGCCCCCAATTGGTTAAGCTGTTCACGGCGGAGAGATCTGTCCCCGGACGGTTCCCCCAGCACTTTTTCACACATTCAATTACCTAAGCACGCCCACGAAAGCCCGGATTTAATTGCTGGATTTACTAGTTGCGATGAACGGCTCAAGTGCAGTCTCTCTCCACGCTGGCAGGTGAATAAACTGTCGGCTCAGTGAGCCCATTGTATTGCAATTATGTTTTATTGTTCAGATTCAATGCAAGAATCAAAAATATCACTTGATCTTGTTTTTTTTTGTAAGAGAGTGTGCCATGCGGTGTGGGTGAATATAGATACAATAAAACTGATGTTTAAATAGAGTATGAATACCTTAAGGGTTCTAAAGCTTAGTTCAAAGGACACTTGGATTAACATTGCGTACGAATACAAAAAAAACGGGACAAAAGTATCATACGGAAATGATATGTATTATATCGAACAAACAGGGTTTTTGGGAATATCGTGTTTTATAACGGCGATTGAATCTAGCTGCCATAGGAATGATTAAAAGATTTACATATATAAAATTAATGGTTCAAAAATTAACATCATTATTTTTTATCATACAATAATGATTTTTGGAATGACTGACTACTACCATACACTATAATTTATGAAATAATTGAAAATAAGAGAAAAAACATTATAGTTCGATGTTGTTAGGCATTCATGCATTTTGTCCGACATTAAGCAATTCATTTCAAAGATAGAAAAAAAAAATATAATTTATATAAAGAACGTACAAAAAATCAAAACTAACATTTCAAGCCGACTGACCTTACCGTTTAGTTTTTACTGGCTCCTTCAATACTTAGAAATTGAATTGGTTTATTGCTTACCCCTAACTTGCATGTTTACCACACAACAATGCCTAAATTACGATTAGACAGAACTTTTCGAATCTTTTTCCTTTGGAATGCATTTTCCCAGTGCACGCGCCTCAGCCAGAGTTGTGGGCAGCACCTTGTTGTTTGTCTCCGGGAAAAGCAAGGAAAGCCCCGAACAGGTAAATCCCAATGTTGCAAACAGCAAGTGGGGAGCGTATTCGAAGTAATCGATCTAAAAGGAAGTACTCATTGACATGCGTTGGATACTCATGGAAAAGGAACTTACCAACAAAATTGTTTGGGGGGCCAGCATGGCGCCTAAGAAACTTATACTGGTGCATAAGGAGAGCACGCTGTTCCTGCAGCTCGTCGGAAACATCTCGGAGGTGAAAAAGTACAGGATCATGATGCTGGCCGAGGACGTCAATTTTGCCAAGAAAAAAAGTATCGAAGAGGTCAAGGGGTAATCTGTAGGGATGTAAACAAGTAAATGTGTATATAAATTTTTATTATATGATAAAATCGGAAAGCGATAAAATTGCTCTTTTATTACAAAATAACATCATATCAGTGGTCCCTAAAGCAAAAGGTATTATAATTTCAGTCAGAAGTTTGAAACGCAGTGCAAGAGACACCTCAGACCCCATAAAATACATATGTTCCTGATCAGCATCACGATCAGAATCGAAATACGTCTGTACGTCTGTACGTCTGTCCGTCTGTTTCTATATAAACTTGTATCTTAGTTTTGAACCTATCTTGCTGAAACTTTCCCAAAAGTTGTGTAGTTATTGCACACAGTATATATGTAAGCCGGAACGGGCCGGATCGGGCGATTATATCGGATAGCTCCGATACGAGAGATTAAAAAAAATTTAAAACTCCGTAATAATAGTGTTTTTTAACTACTATCAAATTTCGAATTAAATTTCATCAAAATCGGTTAACTGTGCATCATATAGTTGCCATTGGAAAGATCGAAATAATGAAAAAAATTATAACGCTGTTATTTTTTATCCCACGACCATGATTTTTAGAACATCGAGTTTTTTAAATATTCTTAATTCGAGAAAAAATTTCATAAAATTCTGACATCTGGAGAGATAGAAAAATCTATAATTTTCTAACGACTGTTGAATTTCGAATTTAATTTCATAAAAATCGAACGATATAGCTGTCATATGAACAATCTTCGAAAATATAGAAACTTCATAGAAAAATCGGCATAGCTTCGATGTTGTTTAGCATGTATGTATTTGGTTCGACCTCTTTGATGACTGCAAGGGTATATAAGCTTCGGCTTGCCGATTGTATTTTAAAATACAATCAAGAAAAGAAGCTAGCTTTGGGGGTCCGAAGCTGACATACAAGACCCCATAAAATATATAAATATATTTAATGTACATATAAAAAATCGGCTCTTTTGACTACAATTAAATTAAAAACGAAAGATCTTGCAAATCGCATGATTCTACCGAATACCATACCATCACAAAATCTAGGTCCAAGAATTATAACATCGGTTGAATTTAATCAATAGTAGTTAAAAACATCGTATCGAAAAAAGCAAGTCGATATGATCAAAAACAACGGCGTGATAATTTTCTCGTTATTCTTTCGACCCCTCCCTTTGAAGCTATCCGATATAGTCTCCCGATCTTGTTTAAATTTATATTCTGCGTGTAAAACCTACACAATTTTTGATCAACTTTCACCAAGATATCTTGAAATGGACAAGAGGACAGACGTACACGAATAGATCAATTCACATGGTGATGTTGACTAAGAATATACATATATGTATATTTTATGGCGTCTGAGCTTATTCCTTCACTGCGCTGCAAACCTCTGACTGAAATTATAATACCCTTTTGCAAGTGCAAAAAAAGTTGCTGTTAACTTATATTCGTTCATATGACAGGTTATAGTTTTTATGACGGTACTAAAATCGGGCAATTTTAAAGCTCCCATAAAAAGCAACTGAAAAGTAACTGGTTGCAAATATAATTATAAAGACATTTCAAAGTCGTTATAACAATTCAAAGTTATTTTTCCAAGAATAAAAGCTCACCTTCATCCGTGGCGGCCACTGCAAGAAGGATAGTGACACAGGAGAATTGGAAGGAGCTGAGTGCCCAGCGCCGTCCCACCCAGTTCATGAGTGTGGTGGCCATCAGGATTCCCGGCAGCTGCATTAACCCCGTCATGCTGAAGTTATCGAACTTGTTGCCTCTCAGATGAGTGGAGTTCAGGCTGAGGCCCAAGTCGATGAGGGAGTTGGTGAGCCACACGAAGCAGCACAGGGCGGTGCGACCACCCAAGGCCTGGTAGATCTGGCGGACGCTGTAGTGACCCCTGCTGGCGGAGGACTGGGCCACCAGACGGCGGTTAGAGCGCACCAGCGCGTTGAGCTTCTCCTCGTCAAGGGCCCGCCGGTTCACCCGAGCCGCCCTCCGCAGTGCGGCCTTGGCGTCCAGCTCCTTCTCCTGGCTCAGCAGCCAGCGCACGCTCTCCGGCAGCAGGCAGATGAAAGTCAGGTGCAGGAGCGCCGGCACGTAGAGCGCGCGCAGCAGGAAGCGCCAGTTGCGCAGATAGTTGGCCAGGTAGCCCAACAGGGCATCCGCTAGACCGAAGGTCAGACTGATCCCGGTGGCGGCCACCACACGATGCTTAGGTCCCACCAGCTCGACGGCCATCAGGAATGCGGTCTGGTACAAGGTGCTGCCGACTACCATGTCAACGAACTCGAGACTTAGAAAGCTGTAGTACTCCGGCGCGTTCGAGCGAGCCAGTCCTGCGAAGGCGCTAAGCGCTCCTGAGACGACCAGCATGAACTTCCGACCATATCTACGAGGTAAAAGGTCTGCATTTTTACGTGTCTAATTTCAATGTAAAACAAGTAAGGAAGCTAGCTCCGGCAAGCCGAAGCTTATATACCCTTGCAGTCATTAAATGAATTTTTTTCTTTATTTAAGAGTATTTGAAAAACTTGATGTTCCAAAAATCATGCTCGTGGGATTAAAAACAACTACGTTATAACTTTTTTTCCATTACTTGTATATATATTTTTTGATATCTCCTATGGCAGCTATATGATAGAGTTATCCGATTTTGATAAAATTTAATCCGAAATTCAATAGCAGTTAGAAAACGCCATCTTGAAGAAATCAAGTCGATCTGATCAAAAACAACGGCGTGAGAATTTTTTATTTCATTCTCTCGTAAGGGAGCTATCCGATATCGTCGGCCGATCTGGCTCGTTCCGACTTATATACTGCGTGCAATAACTACACACCTTTTGGGAAAGTTTCAGCAAGATAGCTTTAAAACTAAGAGACTAGTTTACATAGAAACAGACAGGAGGACAGACGGACAGACAGACAGACGAACAGAGAGACAGACGGACAGACAGACAGACGGACAGACGTACAGACGTACAGACATATTTGGATTCTGGTCGTGATGCTGATCAAGAATATATACTTTATGGAGTATGAGGTGTCTCCTTCACTGACTGAAATTATAATACGCTTTGCTCTGCAAGGGTACAATAGGATCTTAACTGGAAATGGTAAGACTTTGAAGACTTCACAAATTACAAATTTTCACACAAGGAGTAATCAATTTTTAAGTTCCGGTAATCAATGCAACCCAAAACTTTATTTAGAGGCGACAATGGCAATATACCCCTTTTAGACGACTCGAAATCTATTTATCTTCCAAAAGCATTCCAAACATACCGATCGGCCATATAACCGCCCAGAGGCATACCGACAAACTGTCCAATATTGTTGACTGTGCCCACCATCGAAAGCTTCCATTGGTCAGCGCAGAAGATGCCGAACTGTTTTGTTGAGGGAAAACACCAAAAATCAAATCAAGTCCCTCTGAATAGCTCTTTTTATACGCACCTCACTGGCAATAGTTTGTTCGTCCCCTAACATCTTGAAGCCCGCATCGCAGGGGACCTGATGGGATACATTGAAACTGCTGGCATTACACGGAGTGGTTCCCTCCAGATCCGATATCACGGCAAAGTGCTCGCACTGATCCCAAGCCCCGTGGCGCAGCGGAGTGGTGAAGTTGAGGAAGGGTTCATCGTACCCGGTGTCCAGGCCGTCGCACTGGGTGATGTTGCATCTTTGGTGGATCACATCTAAAGATGCCAATTACAAAACACTTATGTGACCCACTCACCTGTAGGACACTTCCCCGGCGGTGAAGACATAGGAAATGGAGTAGAAGGCCCTGCAGATGATGGGCAGGCAGAGCAACAGGTAATTTGTGATCTGGAAGCGACCGAACTGGCCGATCTCAACGATGATCGCGTCCAACTGGTTCTCCTCCGTCGCCTTCTCCTCGACCGAGACATTCGTAATGGTTTCGGGCTTTTCCACCTTCAATGCGAGTTGCATGCTGCCGGTTCTAAAGAACTTCGCCAAGTGAATAAGTGATGCCCCCAACCGGCTAAACTATTCACGGCGGAGAGATCTGTCCCCCCGTGCAGTTCTGCCAACACCCTTTTGCGCATTTAATTACCTTAGCACGCCCACGGAATGGATTTAATTGCTGGGCTTGTCAGCGGCTAGCAGGTGAATAAACTGTCGGCCTAACTGGGACTCAGCAGACACATTGTACTGTTATTATGATTTTATTGTTCAGATTCAATGCAAGAATTAAAAATATCACTTGATCTTGTTTTTGTTGTAAGAGAGTGTGCCATGCGGTGTGGGTAAATACAGATACTATAAAACTAATGTTTAAATAGAGTACAAATACTTTAAGGGTTCTAAAGCTTAGTTCAAAGGAAACTTGGATTAACATTGCGTACGAATACAATACAGGTAGAGAGAAGGTTTTCTAATTACTCCGATCACACAACTGGTTTAATATGGCAAATACCGCATGAATGCGGGACGAGCTGGTTAGTTTTACAACCTACAGATTAGTAGTTCTTTCCCGTCAGCTCCATAAATCATCCCAAGTGTCCGTATCCGAATGTTGCGTTTTGTGTCAAACAAAATTGTCAATAAATAATGCCTCGTTATGGGTGTGTCCTAAAACTACAGAATACATTTCTATCAATTCACGGAGTGAAAGCAAAGATTCCGTGTTCTCTACTTTGCTACGATAATATCAATCAATCTTATCGATTTTAAATATGATTATTTCGTCCCAAACTAGTTCAAAGTGGAATGTTGTTCGACTACAGGTTGTACATGGGATTGCTGGTAGCGTCGAATAGCTGGGTTCCAGTGGACTCGATCATGGACCTCAAGGCAATACTTCGCTGTTTGGCCACCGCCTTGCGAAGAGTCAACTCAAACACATTGTCCTCGTCGATGTTGTCCATTGGCATGTGATCCCTGTGACCCTCTTTCCGATCTGGAGTTTTGAAGACGAGCTCCTCGTGCTCATAAAGGACACACGTCTCGGCGAATTCCTTGGCAAAGTACTGCGCCGTGTTCCGGTTTTGGATCACCTCGCTGGGAAAGCACTGCAGGAGCTCTTCGAAGCTCAGCTCAGCCACCAAGTTGTTTAGTATCTCTACAAGTTTTTAACACATTACTTTCAGGTCTTTCATGCCATTGTGTTTACGTACCCGTTATGTGTGCCTTCCAATTGGGCAACACCTCCTGCTTGCTGAGAATCTTTCGCAAGAGACTTTCCCAATGTTTGGGCGTGAAACCACAAGACTGCAAAATAACATAAATTAATTAAGACATTTACCTGATAAATAACTTTAAATCAAAACAATAAATTACCACAACACACTTCAAAACATTCGACTGACAAATCTCTTTGCAGTTCTAAACACATTCTACCATTCAACCATTACAAAATACTAGTGCTGACTTGCCTTTCCATACTGCCAAAGAAATGCCGGACAGAAACTAAGCAGGTAGTTAATTGCCAAGTTCTTGGGCAAAACGATTACGAGGAAACTGTCGATTCCCATCAAGTGCGGAGACTTTTGTATGAAGGCGAGAAACTCTGAGATGATTTCGCGATCCACCTTGCTGGAGGATAGCAGGCTCTGAATTTTCAGGGTGAGAGTCAGCAGCTCGTTATGCCAACTTAGAAACCGCACCTCGAACTCCCCATCGTCCTTGTTCGGGTAGCTGAAGTCGCTGCGTTCGAAGGGCGGCAAGCGGTTTAGGTACTGCGGCCGTTCCAGCAGGCACGGTATTGGGCGAATGTAGGCCTTGATGTGACGATCGTATTCCTCGCCCTCGGGCAGCTTGTAGTCGGGGATGAAGGGCACGTAGACTAGCTTGCCGGCCAGCGGATCGTTGGGGTTCTTGATGGTCGGCTTGGGGCAGTAGTTCGGAGCCATGCCGACCATGTAGGAGATGCATTCCATACGCAGGTTCATAAACTCCTCGCGGCTCGTCTGTTGCTCCACATCCGCTGACTGCAGGTCGGTAATGAGATCACTCAGGGCCTTCAGCCGGCCCATGTACATGCGAAAGAGGATCTTAAGACCCTTGAGATTAGTAGCAGCCACGTCGTCATCCGCCTGTGGCTGTGACAGCGAGGCATTTGAGTTTCGCTTCTGAAATGGCGAGGACTGTTGCTCCTGCAGCTGGTCGTAGACAATCCGCTGCTGTCTGCCGCTGATTGAGAGGCTTGCCGACCGGTCCTCATGCGCCGAACTGGCACAAGAGCTGGACAAGGACTGGGCATCCGCCTCGCTGTGCAGCGAAGGAGCCCGCGAGCTGCTACACTCCTCGTCGTAATCGTCGTCCAGTTGCGGCGGAGTCTGCGATCGAATCTCGTGCGGCTGCAGAGTCGAGCTAACGTCGTACAGATCGTAAAAGTAGACCTGCAGAATGCTCACGAACACCTTCTGCGAGGTCTGGTATCCCTTCTGGCCAATGTGCGAAGCGATGTAGTTGAGAAACAGCTGCAGGATCATGTCCAGCGTCATGCTGTGCTCAATGCACAGCGCATGGATGAAGGCGTCGCTGATCGCTTCAATTAGCGCTGGCTGCTCATTAGCCAGCAGAATCGTCTCGCTGAAGTCCGAGAAGGAAACGATGGTGCTCGGAGTAGGCGTACTGACCGCAGCGACCTTGCTCTTTCCTCCGACCCGACGAGTTTTCATAGCCTTCGAGTTAGACACCTGGGAGTCAGCTTGCTGCTGATGGCGTCGCTGATAGATCACAGTGCTGTCGTCAAACAGAACGTTCTTATGCCGGATCAATGCGGTGGCCAGGCTGCGTCTTGTGGACTTCGCAATGATCTCCTGAGCCAGCAGATAGTTGGACATGCGGCAGGCGGTCACAGCAAGCAACAGGTTTTCGTCAGAGGAACTGGATGGTAAGACACAATTATTGTAGGATTTTGATTTTAGAAATTGGAAATTCACTTACAGCTTGTCCAAATACTTTAGGTAGTTGATCAGCTCCCCACTCATTGAGTCGGCCACCACTGGAGATATTAGCATTATCTGCGGAATATCCACCGGGGAGTGTTTTATGAACATGTTGAGGAACTCCAGCGAGAGTGGAACCTGCTTGTAGCCCTGCTGAATCACGCGAGCCGGCGTGAAGTATGGACGAACCGTTTGGTTCAAAAAGGCTGACTTCAAGCGATCTGTCCCCAGGCTGAGCAAAAACAACTTAACCGTGTATATCAGTCCCGCGAGCTCAGTGGTATCCGCGCTCTCACCACCATTCATAAAGTTCTCTATGTAGTTATTGAAGATATCTACCAGATGCAGCTGGCACATTCTGTAAAATCCCGTGGCCTGGAGATAAACCTCCTGTTTACTGGAACTGCAAGAAGCGATAATGTTATTGAAATTCCAAGAACAAATGTAAATGATATCTGAAGTACAATTTATTTGTTCTTTTTCGTACCGTATGGAAAAGTCGGCCAGCTTTCTGCAGTTCGTCGCGAACATTTTCCGAAGCAGCTGCTCCCGCTCCGCTCCCAAACGATCGCCCTGCAAAGTTAGGCTCAGCCGCAGCATGACGTGCGCTTCCTCCATGAGATCGTAGAAATTGCAGCTACTCGCACTGCGGTACGACTCCGCTATGGCCTCAAGGTCCTCGATGACGCTCTCCACGCGAGGAATCTCCAGGTTGTACAGAGTCCATTCGTTGGGCACCGTCGAGGATTGGGCTGCGCTGTTGCTCCTCAACAGGCTACTGTGCTTGGCCTTGGCCTCGGCCAGCAGGCGTGCGGCAATGTTTCTCTTGACAGCAACCACTTGACCGCTGGGCACCTCGCCGGTGCTGCGCCGCTTGTGTAGCTCCAGAGCAGCGTTCGTGATCAGCACCAGTTGCTCCCGGTTCACGCACACAAACTGAACGTGCATGAACGCGGCCAAGCCCACGACGGCGATTGGAGAGCTCACATCCGGGGCGGATTCCTCCGGGAACAGACCGCCGATCGAGGGGTACTCGAAGCGATTGTGAAAGAGCTTGTGCCCGATGCGCGAGGTGTGCGTTTCTACGGACTCGGAAGTCACCGCGTACACCACGTAGTCGTTGATGTGCACCTGGATTACCGGAGCCGTGAAGCTGTAGCTGGCCACCGGTTTCTCGTTCTCGCTGTACCACTTCCCTTGGGCGGAGAACTGGTACAAGAAGCCGTCCACACTGCTGGCCACCAAGAGGGCGTGGCCCATGCACCTCTGGTGCTGCGAAGACTTCAGTGTCCTTCGGTTGACGTGCTTAAAGGTGGTCACCGCACTCGGCACCTGTTGGTTGCCCATGTCGTACTCGTCGTCCTCCTGGTCAACTCCCTGGCTGCTTCTTTGGTATATGGCCTTGAGGTCCATGCAGCGGAGAATGTCCAAAACCCGCGGCTGGTTCTCAGAAGTCTTCATGCAGATTTGAAGCAGCTTACGCACATCATACTGCACCGAGGCGTCATCCTGGTGGCTGCCCCCGGCGATGCCCCTCACATTCATGGCCTTGGCCTCGTTGACGAGCTTGATTTTAATGTCCTGGGCTCGCTGGGGGCCGATGGTAATATCCTGGTTCTCATCCTGACCCCGTCCTCCTCCGAACTCGCTGTCATCCCACTGGGAGCGCAGTTCCGGCTCAAATTCCTTTCCGTAGGCGTTGTTAACCATCTTGGCCACGTTGAAGTCCAGGGGAGACCGTCCGGGCAAGGCTCCGTTCATCGCCACCGGCGGTTTTCCACTGCTCGTCGACTGCAGAGAGTCACTCTCGCAGCTCTGCTGGCTGTGGCTGGAGCTGACCACACCTCCGCCGCCGCCACTGACACTAGCCTTACTGCCTAGGCTCAGCGACTCCGAGAGCGGCTCATCTCCGCCCCCGTAGTCGTTGTCCAGGCAGCTCACGTCCTGCCCTGCACTGGCCCGGTTTGCCAGTGCGTCCACCACCTTGAAAGCCACGCAGTAGCGATGGCTGAGGCAGGCTATCACGTTCTCGGCGAGGCACAGGCGCACCGGAACGAAGTTCAGCTGCACAAAGAACTTGAAGGGCAGGAAGTCGATGAAGGCGAACCTGGGCTGGGTGTTTTCGTGGACACACTGCGTGTACTCGTACAGGTAGATCCTGTCGCGGCTGCTCACGATAATGTTGCCGGAGGTCTGACAACACTGCACGAGCTCCGGCGGACTGCGCAGCGGCAGCTCGATCACATCGATGCTCTCAACCAGCGGCGTCTTGGGCGTGGTCATCGAAGCAATCCGGATTGTAATGGGTAGCTCGTTAAGCCGGCTGTCAGGGAACTTCCAAAAGTTGGCGTAGATGCGCACGAACATCTTGGTGTCATCCTCGGAGCAGACCGTGTTGCTGTTGCTGCTCGATGTGCAGCTGATGGTGGAGGAGGAGTGCACTGGACTGCCCGCCTGCTCCTTCTCCAGGGTGAGCAGGTATTTGCCTGTGGGATATTTATTTTCAACCAGCTTTTAAGGAAAATACCACTTATCTACTCACCAGCCTCACAGTAAATCAGTTGCACTACCTCTCCCACCGTGGCCAGAGTGTTCCTGCTCGGCGTTCGCTCGTCACCTCCGCTGGTGGACGAATCTCCGCCAGCCTCGTTATGTTGCCCCTCATCGGACGGCGCTCCCCTGGTTTCCTCCAACTGAGGCTGCTTACCCCCCTATGTCGTAGATCTCAATGAACTGCTCCGCACTGCTGATAGCTATCCGGTTATTGCCGATCAGACTGCCCGCCAGGATGTCGCCATTCAGCGCGTAGGTCTGTTGCCTGGCGAAGTTGTAGGCCTGCAGGATCTTCACCATGGTGGCTTACTGGAAAAAGAGCAACGGATTTTTTCACTAAGGTACTCTGAATTGCAAGCTACGCCCTCAAATGGGTGAAGTGACTTCATCGCCGGACGTACGCGGACTGGCCTCACGGTGAATCAGTCGCTAGAGCAGAGAATTCTCTAACAGAGAGCGAGACAGAGAAAGGGGAAAGTCCGAAGGGGAATGGGTTGGCGGACCACTTGGCGGGGGCTCAGTCAAGTGGTTCTTGTTTGGGCATGTGAACCATTAGCATAATTGTACGCGTATGTTGTGGTCAGGGAAAGGGAGGATGGATAAGGGTAAACCCAAAGCTATGGGATAGGCCTTTTAAAGAGTGAAGCAATTAATTTTGATTAGAGCCATACAACTGAGACTGTAATGCCATTCATGGCATTTATGATAACTGCTGGTATCACAAAGAACCGCATATTTAACTGTGGTTATTATAAAATCACTAATGTTTATGAGGTATATCATAACAATCAAACTATTATTTACAATACTCTAACAGTTTACCAAATAAATGAAATCGATACTCAGTGTTATAAGGAAGTCCTTTAAAACTTAAAAATAAACTGACGAAAATCCAAAACAAAGCAAACATTTTAGTACTTTACAATCATATGCTTAAGTCAATCCTGACGTTATCCCAACAAAAAATTAATGGAGTACCACAATAGGTCAGTGCTGCACCTTTTACTTCCGCTGGCATTCCTGCGGTTTCCTGTGTTCCGCTCATAAAGTAAACAGACAAGAAATTAGGTCACAGCAGTATACAAAAACACGCCCTTCCTGTTCCGCGACACCCTCTTTCCCACACCCCGCCTCCTTACAGCCGATTTAAGAGCCACTTGAAATGGGTTGGGTCCGCGCTTAAAGACCGATTCCGACAGGCTGCGGCCATACGTGAGTTAGCCTAATTAAGCCATTGGATAAACACTGGACATACACTCGACGCATCAATCAAAACAACCGGCAAAAAGGCGAACAGCCGAATTGGGGTTGCCGGAAATAGGACCGGCCGCGTAGGGGGACATTTATTTCTGGTCGCTGGCTAAATCAATAAATCCAGCGATTATAATCCGTGCATTAACCCAAATGAACTTGGGAAATGGAAATGCCAGGATGGGCAAATCTTTTGAGGCGGGGGAGGTGAGCGAGCACGGGATGTGTGTATGTAAATTGCATTTTGGCAGCGGCATCGAGAGAAAAATCAATATCTATACGTTTTTCTTATGGCGTCACTACCGAATTTTAGTGATCATTTATACTTTTTCACCATCATGTTATATTTATATTTTAAACATTTCCTGAAGAAAAAAAACAGCACGAAGAGAATTTCAGTTAATTTAAGGAAGCACTCAATTACCGCTGCGGCCTCGTTCCTCCAGGAATAATTTTTATTGTCAGCTAGCGGGTTTTATACCGCATAATTATAATTTATCACCGCACCACACATTTTGATATTTTATCGTTTGTTTATATTTTTCCCGAGTGAAAAATAAACAACATATCAAAGATGTTCTTTTTAGTGTGACCGAAAGTTTTTGTATAAAAATTGTACTGTTTTGCGGATAAAAAGTAGCCCAGCAATTTTTGGAGTAAAAAAATGCTACTGTGGGTGGCAGTATGTTTTCAAATTTAATTTTTATTAATATTAAAATGGATTCAATTATCTTAAAAGTTTAAAACACATTTTTAAACAAGTTGTGCAAGCAGCTTGTTAAATATTTTGCAGTCGGTATTTTCCTGATGAGTTTTTCTCAACACTGCTAGCCAAGGTCACACTCCTGGCGCGCAGGGCAATTTCGCGCAAATTGGAAATACAAAAATGAAACCATGACCAGCGCACGCAGCCATGTCAGCATCCAGAACAAGTACGATCGCGTGGTCTTGCTTGTGGACATGGACTGCTTCTTCTGTCAAGTGGAGGAGAAGCAGCAACCGGAGTACCGCAACCGACCCTTGGCCGTCGTCCAATACAATCCTTGGCGCGGGGGCGGCATCATCGCGGTAAACTACGCGGCCCGCGCCAAGGGAGTGACGCGCCACATGCGTGGAGATGAGGCCAAGGACCTATGTCCGGACATCGTGCTCTGTCAGGTGCCCAACATACGCGAGAAGGCGGACACTAGCAAGTACCGCGACGCAGGCAAGGAGGTGGCCAACGTGCTGCAGCGCTTTACGCAGCTTCTTGAGCGCGCCTCCGTGGATGAGGCGTACTTGGACATCACGGAAACGGTGAACCTGCGCATGCAGCAGATGCAGAGCGTAAGTGATTGGCTTCGATTCGAGAACGTTTTCTTATCCGTTGTAACATCTTGCAGGGCGTCTTTGCTCTGAAGCCCCAGGAGCTGGTAAACACCTTCGCCGTGGGCTATCCCAACATCGGAGACTATGTTAACAAGATCACAAATCGCTTTGCGAATCCCTACATGGACGACGAACGATTCCAGTTGTCCTACGACCAAAACGACCTACCCGCCGTGCGCCAGAGCGACATTCGTCTGCTCATCGGTGCTTCTGTGGCAGGCGAGGTGCGGGCAGCCGTTAAGAAGGAGACCGGGTACGAATGTTCAGCAGGTATAGCGCACAACAAGATCCTGGCCAAACTGGCAGCCGGTATGAACAAACCCAACAAGCAGACCATCCTGCCACTCGCAGAGACTGCTGGTCTGTTCGACACCTTGCCAGTGGGCAAGATCAAGGGGCTAGGAGGCAAGTTTGGCGAGGTGGTTTGCGAAACCCTGGGCATAAAGTTCATGGGCCAGGTGGTCAAATTCACGGAGGGCGAGCTGCAGCGCAAGTTTGATGAAAAGAACGGGTAGGTGTCTGAACCAAACGAAATCTCATTCCGAGTTACTTATTTATTTTTTTTTCAGCACCTGGCTGTTCAACATCTCACGAGGCATCGACTTGGAACCCGTAACTCCGCGCTTTTACTCCAAAAGCATTGGATGCTGCAAAAGATTCCCGGGCCGGAACAACATCACGGGATTGAAAACCCTTCGGCACTGGCTGGGTGAGCTCTCATCCGAGATTAACGATCGGCTAGAAAAGGATTTAATCGAAAACAATCGCAAGGCAAAGCATATGGTGGTTCAGTATGTGCAGGACATTGATGGTGAGGAGGTGTCCAGCTCCCGCTCGACAGCTCTTAAAGATTACGACAGGGAGTCCATCGTAAAAATGTCCCTTGACCTGATCATGGCCAATACTAAAACATTTCTGCGTCCCGGCAGCGAGTCTGCACTGAACAACGCTATTAAATTTCTGGGCATCAGTGTGGGAAAGTTCGAAACAGTCTCTAATGCACAGAACAAGCTACAAGAGATGTTCGCCAACCAGGCTGCTAAAAAACGAAGAGTCAGCGGAGAGGAGGCAGTGCAACCACCAAAGGTCCAGATGGAGAAGAAGCCAAAGCAGACAGAGGAGTCAAAGATGCAGAACTTCTTCGCCAACTACCTGCAAGGAGGCAAAAAAGATGACAAAAAAGAGGAATCGAAACCTGATGAAGTTACGACGCCGGCTGAACCCGCGGCAAAAAAAGTTTTGCCGAGGAGTACAAGCAGAAACTCCATGAGGCCACAAAGACCGAAGCAGCCGCCGAGGAAACTGTTCTCACCTCAACGCCGCCTGAGTTCAAGAAAAGCTTTTTTCCCAGTATCTGAAGCAACAAAGAGAGTCGCGACAAAAAGAGGGAGAGGGAGCCCGTGAGGAGTCTTCAGATATGCAGGGACTAGCCGAGGAACTGGACGCCGCTGATGCGGGCAATACAAACGATTTTGATGAAGACACTGAGGAGGAGACGGATTTAACTGGTAATATCCCCAAAGTTTCTAAAGAGCAGCCTTCCGTATCCAAGACCTTACAATGCGAGCCACCAACCACCTCCAATGCGACGACACAGAGGGATTCATCCCCATCTGATAAAGCAGAGCATCCGCCTCTTACTGAAGAAGAACTGCAGCCTTCAACCTCCAAAAGAAAATTCGATGAACTCAATAGCTCTGCCAACTACAAGCAAAGCTACGCGGAGTTCGCTGTACCCGAGTTCCGCACAGATCTTTTGCCGATGGTAAAATGCGATCAGTGTGGGGCCAATATACCAGACGAAGTAAAAGCCCTGCAAACCCACAGAGATCATCACTTCGCCCAGGAACTTAGTCGACAAATTAGAAGCACCGAGAGGGAAGAGAGAGCGCAGAACCGCCAAAAGGTGTCCCCCAAGCCGACACCACCAAAGAAGATTAAGAAGGCGGTTGCTTCTGCAAGCACATCCAACACGACACCTTGCCCGGCTAACAGCATAACCAAGTTCTTTAGCGCGAAGCCAACACAGGAGCCGCCGTCAAGTGATGTTCAAATGCAGCAGTGCACGGAGTGCAAGGCTTTCGTCAAGAGCGTAGACATGCCGGAGCATCTGGACTACCACGTGGCCAGGAACCTGCAACGCGAACTAAACCAGCAAGATCTGCGCCTTCGGACAGCGGCCTTGAGCAAGGAGAAAAGCTCACCGGCTCAGCCGAAGAAGCAGAAACAGAAGCAGCTCAACACCACAATTTCCGCCTCCTCAAGTGGAAGCAAAACAATTGCCCAGTTTTTCAGCCAAAGGCATTAATGGCCGGCCATAGTACCACATTAAGTATACGAGTACCTACGAACGGAACAAAAAAGAGCTTTAGTTTATCATAATCATGTTAGATTTCTATAGGATTTAAGGGAATATAAAGGTGACAACATTCGCTTTATTTTGAAGATTTATCAAGCTTCGAATAATAAACAAATTTAATTTTTTGTTTATGTTTTGATTCCGGATTTGCATTAAAAACATTGTGCCGATACAAGTATAATTAATGAATTTCACAATCAGGTTCTGGATTGCTTTTTTGTTTTGTTAATATTTTTTTATTTGTTTATTGTAAATTCACTACGGTTAAGACGCGTCATAAAAGTCACATTTATTAGTTGTATTTTTTTTTTGCTGGATTTCTAGACTTAAGAATAAATGTTGATCATTACCAATTATAAATAAAAACTGCTGATCTTTGGATGCTAAAATATAGTATATATATTGTTCATTCTTATAATTATATTTAGAGTATAACACATTTGTAAAGAAATGTCTTTGTATTTGCAGGCTGCCTTAGGCTATGATTATCCTACTGATTACTGCGTTTGACTTGCGGCAACGACTAGATCGAGATCCTTGCCCTGCGACGGCTTCTTCTTGACGCCTATGGCATCCGCTTCCTGCACCGTGGTGGGTAGGATGACGTTGGTGGTCTCTGGAAAGAAGAGGGTGAGCAGTCCGCTCACGATGGCGGCGCCAGCGAAGAGCATGGCAGGCGCACTGGCGTAATACTTGGCCTGCAAGGAAAAGAGAAAAGGGCACTTAGACGCAAACGAAGGAGCAGCAGTGGGGATTACCCACCAGAAGCGGCGTTTGCGGGGCCAGCATGGAGCCGAACCTGCCCATCATCGAGCAGAAGCTGAGCAGGCTGTTCCTCAGATTCGTGGGGTAGATCTCCGAGGCGAAGAAGTAGAGCACCTGGAAGCTGGCTGTGATCGTCAGCTTTCCAACGAGGAACAGCACCAGCTGCAGCACCGGCTGATCTGCGCCGGCGAAGATCGTTCCAATGCAGCAGAGCCCGCTCGCCAACATCAGGCCGCAGAGGGAGTACCGCCTGCCGAAGCGGTCCATGATGAGCAGGGGCAAGAAGAAACCGGGGATCTCCACCAGGGCGATGTAGGCGAAGTTGTTGTACTTGTCCCCGTCAAGTAGCACCACATTGAGACTCAGTCCGTAGTAGACCAGCACGTGGACGATCCAGCAGAAGGAGCAGTTGGCGATGCGCCACTTGAAGTTCTTGAAGGCCTCGCGGATGGGAAAGCGGCTCTCAGACGACTGCTGCAACTTGTCCCGGTTGGCCAGGACGAGCTTGTCCAGCATGCTCTCCGGCAGCTCGCGCTTGTTGACACTGGCGGCGCGACGCAGGATGTTCTTGGCCCGCTCCTCCTTGCCCTGACTGAGCAGCCAGCGCACGCTCTCCGGCAGGATCCAGAAGTAGGCCAGCAGGATCAGCGAGGGCATGTAGGTGATGCGCAGCAGGATGCGCCAGTTGGGAAACGCCTTGGCGGCCATGGCCAGCGCAACCTCGCCCACGGCATAAAAGATCGTAATCACGCTGCAGGCCAGCACCCGCCGCCTGGGTCCCACCAGTTCGATGCCGATCACGAAGCAGGTGGAGTACAGCGTGCTGCTGGTCATGTTGTCCAGGAACTCAAACACCAAAAACCACCCGTAGCTGGGCGAAAAGGAGCGAACCACGCCCAGCACAGCCCCCATGATGCCGCCCAGCGCGATCGAGAAGCTTCGTCCATATCTGATCGGAGAGGTCGAGGTTTAGCGGATATGATTTGAGACTTAAGAGACTTTTTAAACACCCACCGATCTGCCACAAAGCCGCCGATGGGAATGCCAAAGAACTGTCCCAGATTATTTATGGTTCCGACCATTGATAGCTTCCACTCATCGTCGCAGAAAATGCCAAACTACAAAGAAACCATTTTTATGATGCAAATCTTTTGTTATCGTCAGTCGTCCGCTTAAAAAGAAATGTCAATTGTAGTCTCTCATTCAAGATGGTTATTCATGTTCCGTAATTAACGTATAAAAAAAATTTATTTGTATGGTAATTAATTGGTAAAATGTTTAGTTTTGTAATAGCTCTTATTTTTTGTTTGTTTTCACAATTTGTATATTTGTAAAGGCTTGAGCACACATTTGTAATGTAAATTAATTTCCCCCTTTTATATTTTGGTAAGTGTACAGACTCTAAAGTTAAATTTTTGGGGAATTGTTTGCTGTTCTACACTAGTATTTATCAGTCTCCCTTAAATTTAACACAATAACAACCTCTTATCTTAATATCAATTTGTATTTCTATGTTGCAATTCTTTTGCTTGTCTGTCTGACTTTGAGGCACTTAACTGCTGCCTTTTGTTCTCGGTTTCTCATGCCCAATTTTCTGATAAAGAACGTTTTGCATAAAAGCTCATCAGGCCACTTGGGCAGCAGCTTCCGACATCATCTTCGGGCACATAATCATCTGCTGACAGGTTGTTACATCTGATATGCCAGCGAAAAGTAAATTTGTTTACCCCATGAGTGGTAAAATTCCTAAATTGCTATCTAAATATTATGAGTTGTTTACCTTTGGACCTTCACAACGGTCTTTCTGTTGATTCAGGTGGCGTAATTGGCGTACACGTTATAAAGAAAGCCAAATGGGGTATATAATCAATACGTTGAGAGTTTTACAATCATCAACTGCAATCCTGCCGTAGTTTTCTTAACCCGTTTCGGGCCCCGTCTGATTGCCCACTATTTGATTACGATTGTAAACTACTCAATGTCGGTTATCAGGGAAGTATATATATTTGCCTCACAATTTAGTCATTGAACCCGAACAAATGGGTGGATCTTGTGATCTTAAAGCAGCTGGGGGGATCGATCTGATTCGATTAACTTTAAGCGCACAACTAGAAATCTCGGACATTTAAAAGTATGAATGAGTGGGAAACTAGCTAGTTAATGAATTTCTTAATCAACGAATACATTTATACATTCTAATAAGTTGTCTTGGTAATAGCGGAACTTATATCAACAGAAGTACAAAACTGTTCACCAAACAAAACATAAAGTTTTAAATAAGGAGTGAACAATGGGACACGGAAAAAAGTGCAAAGCATAACCCTGCAAAAGATGCCAAAACTATGTTCATTGCATTTTAATTTTTAGCATAAAAGTTCCTAACACAATAAGACATTTTTTAACATCTCATTCTAAAATGATGTCCTGCCTTATCGTAAATATTATGTGGCAATTCATGTGGTAAAAATTAAATATCAATAATTACTCTGTAACTCAAAGACTACGAAAAGTAAAAAAAAAAAACGGTGAAAGATTATAACATAATACACATATAAATATTTTCATATAATTTCAATCGGAAATATTCAATAAAAAGCACACTTAAAACAAAAATCAGTACGTAAATATAGCGTCTGCAAAAAATACGAGTAAACTAATAGCAAATTCTGGCATTTAAAAAAGCTAATCAAACTTTGATATAATGAGTTTAACTCTGATAATTCAGAGATTAGACTGTTTTTGTTGTGGTGAAATTCCGGGTTAATGACAAGCTTCGGCGTCTATTCTTAACGTGTATCGATCCAGGCAGCAGGTGCCTTAATCGGCTGACTTGTTATCAAAGTCCAACGTCTCCCATCGCGAGATTCGAGAGTCTGGCATGCAGTCGTCGTAGGAGCTGATAACAGCACCCCCACTGGCGGAGGAACTTTGGTACTCACGTCATTGGAAATGGTAACCTCATCGTCGCGAAAGACGAACTTATTGTCGGGGCAGGGTTCCGAAACCTTCGTGAAAAGAGTGGGCAAGCAAATGTCCGAGGACTGGTTCCATTGTGGCAGCTCGGAGTTGGTGTACCGATTGCAGGCGTCCAGGTCCTTTCCGTTCCTGGGAATACTCCACTCCGTATGCTCCTCGTAGTAGGCGCTCTCCGGCAAATCGCACTCCGCGATGTTGCATCTGTCGGGGTTGGTATGAACCTATTTAGTCTCGCTCAACTGGCCGAGAAAGTCCAATCACTGGCCCTTAAATTCACCTGTGCGTCACGGTGGCCGCGGTAAACACATAAGTCACCGAGAACATGGCGTGGAACATCATCGGCAGGCAGATCAGCACGAATATGATCAGCTGGAAGCGCCCAAACTGGCCGAGATGCTTCAGGATGGCGTCCAGGGTGACGTCCTCGGAGTCGTTCGCCGGTGGCGGCGACGGCACCTCCACCGCAGAGTCCGCGGGTGGCGCTTCGCTGGCTGCCATTTCCCAAACTCTGCCCTCGACGATTCGCGCACAATTAACTCACACGTTTTCGGGTTATGTATGCACTCGCGCCGCGTACTTTTCATTTACGGACTCGATGAGTATATTTATTTTTACCCACGGAGCCGATCACTTTGCGATGTGTAGGGCAGCGAAACGCGCCGCGAACTGCCGTGATCTTCGGTCCGATGCGATGCGTTCAGTCGACGAGCGGTCACGATCGCAGTCCGGCGACGAGTGAGGATGATCGGGCCAGAACCACCGGCTGTTGGCGGTGGGGCGCCTTGATAAGACTGCCGGATTCATGGGGTGCCGAGATTCGGGTAGGCTCGCTTGGAGATTAAGCTCCGCGCAGTGTGTCGCTGCGGGATTGGTTGCGGAGAAAGTGGATCGGGCTGGTAGGGTGATAGTACTCAAAGTCCAAGAGACAGGTTTCATGGATAGTTGTATTGGAGCTAAAAGTTAATTCACGCAGTTGATAATAGCATAAACTCCTTTGCGTTTTTTATCTTCACTGCCGTAAACGAACCTCTGTTTTAATATTTTTCCATTTGTGTATATTCTCTGATTAAGAGGATAATTTATTTACCTTTTCGTGTTTTTAAAAATTGTTTTATTTGTTAACAGGAAACTTTTTATATATATTTTAGACACTTTTAGAGGCACGTTCTGCAAACGTGATATTTCCATAATTTATACATAATTTCTTTTTCCGATTTGGCCAGTGGCCAAACCATAAAGGCCAACGCACTTACTCAGTGTCAAAATATACATACAAATATATAGGTATATATGTTTATATACAATAGAAAGAAATCCAAGCACACATTTTACACGTGTCCAGGCTCATGACCAGACCTAAGTAATTTTAGATTAATGCATGTATTTTGATTTTAATAGCTTTTTAAGGTATGTTAGACCTAGCCAGATGTTTGTCACGTTATAAAAATAATATAAGAATATTACGTAATAATATAAGCGAGTTTTGTCTGTGGGGTTTTACTAGTGCTTAAATTAGAAAATTGCAAGTAAAGTTCAGAGACAATAATAATAAAATTATACAAACATTCAGACAGATTTCAACTATATAAGACCTAATAAAATGTACAAGTCTAATGAAAAACAAATTTATAGGGTACTTGAACCAGAAATGTCTAAATATGAATAATAATGCTTAAAGCATATCTAATTCGAAAAGTAGTACGAGTATCCATTTATTAGCGTAATAGCTAAAATTAACTGATTTCATGAACTCAATTTACGACCGAATAACGAACTTGTTTATTTTATGCTATGACCCACTTATTTACATTTGGAGACTCTTGCAATATAATGTCATGCAAGCGAGGATAAGCGGATATTATTAATTTTTTAACCAAATTTTATATAAATAAAACGAAAATATCCTTAAGGTTTTGTCAATTGTAACTTTCCTAAGCGTAATCCTTCACATAATATAAAGCGACTTACAAAACCAAAAATGTAATATAGAATGTATATTATTGATAGATAATTCATCTTAATATGATATTCGAGCAGGGAATTTAATTCATACCAAGTTCTAATTTTTCACAAAAGTTTTTACGACAGTTGCAACTAAGTTGCCCAAGATTTTAAAACCCAACCCGATTGAGAAAGGTTAATTATAGCCCGACTGTCACGTCTATACCAAAAGGAATTAATTAGTCAGGGAAATGTAATTCCCGCTTTGCAAACATCTGACTTAAATTATAATATTGGGGAAATAAAAAGTTGGAAAAACCGGTAGGTACTTACTTTAAAAACGATATACAGTAAAAACCCCGTTAGAGGACCAGTTTCCTTTAGTAGGTCAATTTATTTATAACAAAAACGTCCGAGAATGGGCATCGGAGAGGAGGCACTAGAGTTCCCATGCCTGCTTTTGGTCTAAATGTATAAGGTATAAGTAGGTCCACAAAAACTATCATCCGGAAATGAGGGTAAGTAATTTAAATCATGTTTTTCCAAAATATTATAGTCCATAACATTGTTAAGTCAGTAGTTTATAAATTACCCAAGTAATTTCAATTATTATCTAATTTGTTAACACATAGATACCTTGCCAAATGTATTAAATTGGTCCACAAAAAAGTTCTATTAGAGGTTTCAATATTATTAAACATAACAAAGGTGTGAAATTAGCAATTTTATTATCGTTATTTACCTAATAAAGGTACGTTATTATTACTCTGCTCGTAATATAATTTATATTTTCTAATACATATTAAAAATATTTATTTTGGATATACATTTTTGCTAAGTTTGTAGAATTACTAGCACTTCTTGAGGTGGGAGGACTGTACTCATTATCTTTTAACTGCACGACAGAGTTTATTTGTTATGGAAAAGTAATAAGAATTGGATTTGCGGGAGATGATTATGGGGCTTTTTCTAGAACGTGTTGGTCAACCTTAAACGCTAACCTGTCAAAATACAAGTTAAATTGGTTCATGATCCGGTTGTTGAACGCAATTACACAAGCTAACATATAACTGAATGCCGTGAAATCTAAATTTTTTTCTTTTAAAATTACTTTAGGTCACTCTCTACTGTTTTGTTTTGCTCTTTTTAATTTTTTTGCTCGTAGTCGTTGAATCTAAACATGTGTATATTTTGTTTATTTTTGTGTCTTTTTATGAATGAAGTTTGGCGGCCTTTTGGCGTCTGTTGTTACTTGTAGTTGGCCTCGTGCCATTCGCCGTTTGCATTGATCAAATCGGAACAATCGGATACCGTGTCGTATACGTATTGTCATTCCTGGTGGCGTCTGTTCCATTATTATATATATCATTCCATACGCTGTTGAAAGCACCACAGTACGAATTGTGAATGCTTTATAAATACAGAGGCCGTAATTAACGAGGTTGAAATACTGCTGAGATGAAAGGAAGCCCACAACCTTATTCAGTGAAACAACGTTTCTGGTTTGTTTTGAATATATCTAAACACATACCTTTATTTAATGAATTCAAAAATTGTGTTAAATTCTTGTTTTGGTTTTGTTCTTCTTGCTTTTTCCTTACACAAGTGGTACATTTTCATGATCAATTTTCTGCAATATTCCCGCGACTTGCACACAGATACTCAGTAAGAATGTATCTAGTTCAACGCTCTTATGCTTAGAGGTGTGTGTTTCTTGCTTTCTATTAATTTTTTGTTTATTAAGGTTTCTTATTTGTTTTTGAAGTAAAAATGTGACTCAAAAACATTTATTCAAAGAACGCAACACATTTATGTAGCTTTCAAAAATCGATCTTGATTTCTTAAAATTCTGTTTGATTGGGTAAACTTGCAGTAATTTTTTTTGTGTTTGATATGATGTGGTATATGATAACTTATAATTTATTTGCTTATATGGATTGTTTGATCAACGAAAATATTCTTCAGCGATATATGCCATGTATATATATATATATTTATATATAGGTGTGTATATGAGTTGTGAGTAAATGCGTATGCATCGTAATAATAATCATAATCAGTTAATCAGTTTAAATAATTTCACTTAATAGCTTCGTTTAACTCTATAAATTCAATTATAATGCACTTAACTTTGCGTGTGACTGTGTGTGTGTGTGTGTTGGAGTCTGTCGTATTGTGGCTGTGAGTGTGTCGTGTGTGAGTGTCGGTGTAATCAGAGAAGGCAGTCCCAGAGTTGCGCTCTCCTGATTCCTCGTCCTGTACCGTTACACCCTGATGGCGATGCCTACGTATGCGTAAGTGTTGTGATGCCTGTGTGTGTGTGTGTGAGACCGTGTCCTCTTTCGGGGTTCTTTTGCACTCTATGTGGGGTCGCACGTACTTACACATTCAGTTTGTTCTTCATATATATGTAAATACTTTTAAATATAATTTTAGAATTGTAAATATGTTGTAAATAATGTTTGCCTTTCGGGCTTTGTTTCATTACTTTGTTTTGTTTATTTCAACTCGTGTTTTACCGATTTCTTGTACATTTTGCAATTATTTAAGAATCCATTAATACCGCTTAGGTTGCTTATTGTGATTAAGTTCTGTGTATTCATTCGGGCATGCCGCTGTCTAAAGTCTAACATATGAAGAGCATCGTCTATAGGGCTGTCCGGGTCTCAGATCGAAGCTCCAAACTTCTCTCGAGCGGTCTGTTCGAATCTGTCCCACGTCACTCCGATATAGCCGTGTGTCAATGAGTTCGGTTGAGTGTTGTTCGGTTTGGTTTGTTCTTTATAGAGTTGTAATACACATTTAAGAATTATTTAAATATTATTGTTGTACACAGATAAACAATATTAATTTCACTTATGGCTTAACTTTACTTTTATACTTGCGATAGCCAGGTCAACACTGCATCGCTCATTTTTACGGGTGTGTTGGTTGGTTTCTCCTTGTCTCTAAGTTTTTCTTTCAGTGTACTGTAACCTAAAAGTTCTTCTTCTGCTGCCTTCAAAATGTACCCTGGAACCTCTGGCAATGCTAAAGCCTCCTACTTAGGTTCCCTGTCCGGTTTTCGGGGTGCAAAATAATGGTGAAGATGTATATCGAGCTAAGCTACATGTACGTGGGTTAGTTAGCCTCTACACTACACTACACACTTTGGTTCTGATCGAAAACTATGTGGTGCTGGTGCTACGTGTTGGTTTGCCTAACGTCGTTCTGTTTTGAAAGTCTCCCAAAAATTGGTGGTTCTGAAACCAACTGTTCGTTTGCTTTTTTTTATTTTGGTGTATCTTTAATAACGTTGAAATGAAAACAATTACGCAAAAATTTGCACTAAAAATTGGCACTAACTTTTGGTTTTGTTCTTTTAATCCCCTCATTTGGATTGCTTCAACCACAATAATAACGCAAATAGTTTTAATCCATTTGTGAGTATTGCTTAAATATATATTTATCCAAAACACTTTCTAGGCATTTTCAACTGGTTTCGTAACCATAATTCCATTCTTTTATGACTTTTGTCCATTTCTTTATTATTGAAGCTCTAGTTATATGATTGCCTTGCAGTTTTTCTTCAACTTGTAAATATGTTTAGTTAGTTTTTGCTTTGTTACTTTAACCTTTTCCAATTAATGAGTATTTTATTTTGGCTGCGACTGTGTTGCCTCCCTTTTGTGTCTGCAGATTAGCAACATAATATCAGGGGCTAACCGAAGTGCAACGCAAGTCTCGAATGCCTCAAAGTTTCGCCTAAAAGTACGCAACGAAACCAATGGGGAATGAACTGCCT